GGATTCGTCTCTCCAAACAAATATTCTATAAAATCACTTCTATAGAATAAGTTGATCTAATTCTATACTGTTCATAGGTGGTTAGAGAATTAGTTTGGGAATTTTAGTTTAGTCTATCTATGTTAAAAAAAACCGCCCCATTAATATAGGAGTGGTTTTGATAGGATCTCCATTCGAACACAAGTAAAAAATTGGAGGGATAAATTTGAAAGAACTTACGCAATGGGGTAACCTGGTATGGGGTTAATACTATAAAAACACCTCTTTTTCCTTTGAACAAGGGCTTCTTATATAATTCTCTTTTATCTTTTAGATGTTATCTTACAATAAAAAGAGGTTAGGTTAGTATTCTAACTTGACAGTTACGTTCACAGATTTATCATTATTGTCATTACCATTTTTTTAAGGCTACACGAAAAACTTGGTTAGGGGGAGCTCGATTTTTTAGGTGCTCAGCGTGCCGTTTTAGAAAGACTGAAAACCCTTCCAAACAAAACCCTCGGAAATGGAGGCCCAGCTAAAACCCATCTCTATTCCAGGAAAGTACAACCCATGCGCAGCTCCCAAACTTTGAGCATCACGATCATCCAAAGGGAAAATTTGCAAAATAGTCCGTTTTTGCTAATTATTTAGTAAAATAAACTGTTTTGCTAAATAATTAACAAAATAGACATCTTTTGAAGAAAAAAAAATGTTAATTTTGAAAAACAAGACTCAGAAAACATACGAGACTACTAGTCCCGTATGTTTAGAACCAACTTAATCACGGATTAGTGACTCGGAAAACATACGGGACTAGTAGCCCCGTATGTTTTCTGAGTTCATCTCAATGTTTTGTAAAATTTTCTGAGTTCACTAATCCGTGATTAAAACCGTATGTTTTCTGAGTTCATCTCAATGTTTTGTAAAATTTTCTGAGTTCACTAATCCGTGATTAAAACATACGGGACTACTAGTCCCGTATGTTTTCTGCCAACTTAATCACGGATTAGTGACTCAGAAAACATACGGGACTAGTAGTCCCGTATGTTTTCTGAGTAAAAAATTTCACTAATCCGTGATTAAAACATACGGGACTACTAGTCCCGTATGTTTTCTGAGCTGTTTTGCAAAATAAACATCATTTTGGCCTGTTGGCCAAAAAAAAAAAAAATCTATTTAGCTAATTATTTAGCAAAACGGTCTATTTTGCTAAATAATTAGCAAAAACAGACTACTTTGCAAATTCTCCCTCATCCAAACATCAAAAAGTTGCCTGCATCTTTCTCGGGCAGTTACCACGGAGCAAGCTCCAAAACACTCTCGACTCCTCTTCGGCATCCAATTGATCGGTCGTGCCAGCAACAAAGCTTCCCTTTTCTGAAATGAGATTTTTATTATTCAGTTCCGAAACACCAAACTAATTGTCCAATGTTGTTGTCCCCTCCTCCAATGTTTAAGATGGTAGGCACAAATCACGCGCTAAGCACGGGTCTAATCACATGGTACGAAACGGTGGGGAGTTTGATTCATGTGCAGGGGCCAGGGGAGCGTACAGCATGATAAAATTTGACAATACACAAACATAATAATAGAAACGCGGTACCAATTTTAAACCCAGAGGAACATAATGCAATTTGGCCCTAATTTAATAGACAGTAGTGACATTAGATCTGATAACAGAGATGTATCATCTCAGAAAATTGCAAACAAACACACAGGACGAGAACCACTAATCTGCAGTGTTGTCGTTGACGCATGAGCGCGTGATGGGGAGTATCTGAAGGCGGAAGAACTTAGAAAAGGACTTCCAAGACTAAATCTGTCTTCGCTGGTCTCTCTGTTTCAAGCATTAAAAAGTTCCTAGTATGTTCTTCTTTCCATCACAAGGGTTTTTTTTTTTTTTTTTGAATTATTTTAACCAAAATCCTGAACCTGCCATATCATGATCAGATCCGGTTCCGTGACTTGCCAATTTCTTGATACGGGTTGAGAACTCGTTGGCCTGTAAGAGAATTAAAATAGAATAAGCAGCAGCAAATAACATGTCATCATTTGTACAGAACATGGAGTAACTCCATATCGGAAGAAGCAGCCATAACATTAGGGGGAAATGAAGAATCAGATTCAAAATCTGAACAAAGACAGTTAAATCCGTTCAGACTCAATTTGATAGATAAATTATGCCCATATGTAGATCCGCTTGTTGCCAGGTATATAAATGCAAATTCACCCCGAGTATGGCTGTTTCTTTTAACTTGGACCTATGTCTACAATCGCCAGATAAAATTAATGCGAGGAAGTTTTCGGAAGACACTAAGCTAAGCTTATATGTTCTACAGGAAAATAGTGTTTGCAAATTCCATTTGTTACTCGCCAAACCCTTTCAGTAAAACCATTCAGAAAGTAAACAACCTTTAGTTAGAAACATCAAACACTTGGTCCAATGATTGAAAAGCTATTTTGCTGGGTCAAAATGCAAAGCTAGAATCCTGGGTGTAATGCTTTAGTTAGAAACACTGAACACTTGGTTTAATGATCGAAAAACTATTTCACTGGGTTATTACTGGGTTAAAATGCAAAAAAGCTAGAATCCAGGGTGCAACACGGTGTTAAAATTTTTTAAGGAAAAAAAAAATAAACAAATGCTTCACTGCCTTACATTTATATATTATTCACACCTTTCTTACGTTTACATCTAACTTTTGTATATTTTTATTTACATTACATATAAATCTTTCTGACTTTATATAATATGTCTACTTTTCATATCAATTTGTCTTACCTTTCTTATAAATCTTTCTATGTCCACTTTTCATTTAAACGTACATCTTTCATATGTTTCTATCTTTTATAATTTTCTATCTACCATTTATATGTTTATCTTTTATAATTTTCTATCTACCATTTATATGTTTCTACTTTCTATCTATCACTTATATGTTTAACAGAAAAGTCGAACAAACAAAAGCAAGGAAACTTAACAAATGGAGAGTTCTTTGTGCGTGTTGTTTCTTTTCTTTTCTTTTTTTTTCTTTTTTTTTTGGCGGGGATTGTGTGTGTTGGGTAGGGTGGGGGGACAGCAAGGAGTTAACAAAGCATTTGATAAAAGCAAACACCAGAAATTATATATAAGACCGAATGAATCATGGTAGTTGACATATATCAAACTTAAATGACATTGCATAACTGATGGGAAATACAACAAAATCAACAAAACCTTTATCTCAAACTTCTGGGGAGGGTACACGAGTCTTATTCTCATTCAATTTTGTTGAGGGTTACCTCTAAGCTGATGGTGCATGGTATTTAAAAATTTTATACTACCCACTTTAAATACTTTACTTTGATAATGCTATCCACACTCAACAGACTTTAAATAGGAAAAAGCAAAGAAAGTAACAGCAGAAACCCTACAATTTCAAGGACAAGGAATTTCATCATCTTTCTGCATCTTGCCAAAGACATTAGAGAATCTGAGACCACTTTATTTTGTTTTGTGTGTTGCAACAAAGCTTTACTAAACATTTTTACTCATAAATGTAGAGGACAATGAAATGAAATTAGCAAAAGAGATATCCATAAAGAATTACCATAAGACACATTGCAAATAGAAAATACTGTAAAAGAAAGCAATTCCAAGCTGACCTTCTCATCGATCCACATTAGTGAACTCAGTTGATTATTTAATATCCGGACAACGAAATCAATGGGAGTCATACCATCAATTGCACTCAGATCACCACCCTAAACAAGCAAATTTTTGAGGATGGCAGTAACCATTAAATAAACGGAGCATGAAAAAGAAAAATGCTGTTTTACTTGGTAAACTTGCATAGTTGTACCTGTTTTGCATTTACTTTTTCGATAATCAATTTAATTTGTTCAGCCATCTTTTGCAATTCGCTCTCAATAAACTCAGCCTGTTCATACCTGAAAATAATTTTAAAAATCACAAAGAAGCTAAATAGGGTATGATTTAAGTGATATAAACAGAATGCCTAACACTTGGCATTAAGATTTGGGGCAGCATTATCACGGGCCAATTATATGAAGCGATTAATACTGTCTAACAAAGGAAAATTCCCAGTTTTTCCTTGAAAACATGTAATCACAAAACTTATATAAAAAGTAGTAGTGCATGAGGGCACCCATTATTACAACCCTATTATCGTTGTTATACTTTGTAGTACAACAGACTAAAACAACACTTCTAAATTAGCCAGAAATTCCCAAATAACGGAAGAAAGGGCCTTTTCTTCGTGGTTTAAAAGGTCTCTTAACCGATTATAAGCACCTTGGATGAGATTCCTATTTGTAGAATGCATTACTAGTTACCAAAATGAGATAGAAGGGGGAAAAACCAATCAGGCTATTTGAATCTGTAAATTAGAACACACAGAACTAAGTACTATCCTTAAAACTTCAATTACAGAAAGTCACATCCTTGAATCTCTTTCTCAACATAAATAGTGATTATAATTAGTAGTAGCAATCAACTTTGCCATCACCTTATTCTCAAATTTAAGACCACAATTGGACCCAAGTTACCCAAATCCACACTAGATGATGCATTGCTAGTATAGTGAGGTATATGTGCAAAGACAGGGTGCTTCCTTGTGGATCGCTTCCATGTCACATTCAGTGCTAATTTATAAAGCCTGATTGTATTTTAGGGAAGACTTCAAGTATGTCTTATCTTGAATCTGAAAAACTCAAACTCAGTCCCATATTGTATGTGATATAAGGAGATAATTTCCTTAAAACACTTCTTTACCCATAAGTCCAAGAGTCTTTATTTTAAAACTTTGGGAAAAGCATCCTTAGGAACAGCAATGATAGGCAGAACACATTAAATAGGTCTTACAAGTTGATATAAAAATAAATAGTTTTTATTGGTTATCTTAAATTAAATAACTGCGTGATCATGATCATCTTCTCTTCAATATTTCAACTATTTTGACTTCACTTGTCAAAAATAAAGAGTACCAAACCCAACTTTGTATCAGGTGATAACTGGGTAGTAATTATCAGATATGGATTCCAGGTCATGCATACCATTTTCTTATCAGGTTCAGATTACTAGTCTACATCAATCCAATAATGAAATAACCTGTTTAAACTTACAGTCACAGTTGTCCATACACGTAGTTGTGAAATTTGAAGTTTTCTTTTCTCTTCTCATTATTAATAAAAAGGAAGGAAAGAAGAGGAGAAAATATGGAAAGCAAGTAAAAGGAGATCAAGATTTTCTCAGCATGCATCAATTGTTCCGAATTTTACCCAGGAGGTTGAAAAGATTAAGTAAAATAGGAAATATCAAAGATCAGTAAATTATAAGGTAAGTACTGACATTGAATCTCTTGCAAAAGCAGCCTCATCTTCAAGAAGTAACCCACGTTCATCCTCATATACACGCTCTGCTTCTCCTTCCATGCTTTGCAAAGCCTTGTCAACCTGAAGTGGTAAAAATACAAGTACATGTAAAGAAGCACATAACCTATCCACCCCAAAAATTAATGAAAAAAACATGCCACCACAAAAAATTAAATTAAAAATTATGCAAAAGCTGTGATAAAGCAAAATAGCTTGCAATTTCTGCAAAATAAACATCATTTATAGTTTAGCATACTAAGATATCAAGGGGCTTATAGGAGGAGCAAAAACAAGCAAAACTACGAGTTCCAACAATGGAAGACACTGCAAAAGTAAATTGGCAAGAATGCTCTGAAGTCAATCAAGCTCTTCTCAACTCATACACAACTTTCTCTCACATATACGATATCATCCCTACCCCTCCACCCTTCAAAACTACCCAAAAAATGCGGATTTCACAAGTAACTGAAGTGGCATTCATTAATATGATTTATGCCCCCCAGCCCCCAGCCCAAAAAAAAGGGGGGGACCACCCACTAACCCAAACAAACAGTATCTACTATTTAAAACAGACTGACCCACAAGTTTGTCAATAATGGTAAGTCAACTTATATTTTACCAATCTCGAGTCGATCACTTGCATTTAGTTCACAGGATGTGACATATATTGTGCTCATTTAGAACAGCATGTACAATAGCGTATGAAACCTTTAATTGCATATTTGATTAACAAACACTAGGCAAGGTTCAGATCACTAGACAAGGTATACAACTATACATCATGAAGACAAAATTCACATTTTTTTAACTACAAACTGTAATTCGATTGGAGCTCTAATATAAGAAAAAGACCCTGAAGGATGGTACGGTATAATTGTATAAACAACTTTACAAGCCTTTAACCAAATATCTGGACAGACTGAAGGATTTTACAAATCTATTTTTCACAAAACGAAGCCAGTATATTCAGCAAGTTGCCAAGGACTACTTAAAGCGCTTTTCTCTAAATTAGATCAAAAGAATTATTCACAGTTTCTAATCCACTAAAGAAAAAAACAAACTTATAAAGTTATGGCGTGCCCAACAAGGAAAGTGATCAACAAAGAATTGACTGGTTATTTTAGTATAACACTAAGTTTGAGCCGACCTCTTGCTGATGAGTTTCAATCAATTCTAGCTGCTTCTCTAAGAAAGCTTGAGTCTCGACAACTTTCGCCACCTCAGCCTGCACATAAGTTGGCAACCTTGAAATAAGAATTTATGATGCCAAGATGAGGCACTTTACTAAAAATGTAAGAAAATAATGCTATTCATAAGAAACCACTGTAAAAAATAGTCTTGTGGGCCTGGCAGAGATTACAAAACAAATATTCAGCTTTATCCTAATGTTTGTCTTCTTCCTAAGAAGAGTCTAAAAGGTAACTGCTCTTCCCATCAAGCCCATAAATCAACAAAATGACAGAGGAAATAGAACTGTAAGGTGGTTTCATAAGCAAAAGTACAAGAAACACCTGAATTCGTTATGTAATTTCATAATCATTAAAGATTAAAATTGATGTGATAAGTATAGTCAAGACATATCATATATCATATATGTGACAAAAACAAGAAATAATCCTCCCTGGGACTTTTCCTATCAGTATGCAATCCTCTGCATAGTTCAGCTCCATATTGAGAAGACCCCAAAATAACTTTATATCATCCCTGAAGCTGAAGCCAATTTCCTGGCCAAGAAAGTAATACCCAACATGGGGGAATGGCATCAAACATTCTAGGTCAACTGCAACATATAAATCTCTTCAACTACACATAACGCTCTGTAACTACACACCCTTTGGCACTTGACACACATCAATTCATTTCCCAAGACAAAGAATGTGCATATGTCTTAATAACTGTCTTTTACTACGATTGCCAGATGTCAAATGAAACACATAGGTGGGGCAGAAGGCATTGCAATTTTCCCAACGATTGATGACTGCTTTTGAAAGAAGCAGCGTACGAACTCGATTGCATATATCGCAGTAACGTTTATACAAATGATACATTATTAGTATGGAGAATAGAGTATCAATCAAGTGGCAAAGGAGGGTACCCCCCATTAAGTCCATATCCCACTAGGACAACTCTTCACCATGCAGCACCATTAGTCATGGCCCCAAAATGTAGAAAACACACCTCAAGCCTGAGAAGCACATCTCTATTGCGCAAGATCCTCCTGTCCCATTCAGCTATTGCAACAGCATGTTTCCGGAACTTGGTAGTGCGTTCCTGAAGCTCAGAATTCCAGTCTTTTATTATCTACCATGCACAGACATTATTACGTTAGCCAAGATGCCTTACCATATTCATAACTTACCCCACAATGACAGCATTTAAGCATGAAAAAAACTAAATATGGAGATCCATAGTATTAATGCAGGTGTAGATTTGTGAAGCAATAAAAAACTAGAGCAGACTCCAACAAAATCCATTTTAAATGAATATCTTATAGCTTATTACCTCCTCGACATTTTTCCCAACAATCTCTGATGGAAACTTAGGTGACTGTGATGTTGTTGAACTGATGGAAGCTGATGTTCTGGAACGATTCAATAAACAACAAAAAACAATGAAGATAGTCATAACTCCCTCATTATTTCTTTCTTTTTTTATTCTTTCACTCAGGAGAGAAAATCCAACAACAACCAAGTAGGAATATATCTCATCTAAATATCCACCACAAGATAACACAAAGAAAAATACCCGCTACTGCTAGCTGCAATTGTGGAAGATAATGTCTGGCTTGTAGTTGAGCTGGAGGCTGAAGTGCTTGCAGAAATCAATGCAGAAGTGCCTACAAAATAGCATCATACAAATCAAGATTCACAATACAAAAGGCTCATATGCATGCTTATCTTCACTAACTATTGGCAAGGAAGATCAGAAGTTGAGTTGCATGGACAAGTATCAATGACAACAAAAACGAGTGAAAAACTCTAGAAACAGAAAGTCATTGATGCAAGCAAAACTATATATATTCTTCAGGATAAGAAAGGGGCATACTGAAGATGATATCAGACTCTGCCCAATAACTGGTCGCATTGACCTTTCATGACAAGAATCACTATGAACATTCACTAATATTGGTAAGATTAATACATCAAACCTCGGAAATAAGCAAGGAATAGAAATGGAGGGAACAGAAGTAATGGCTTTTTTATATATCACTAACAAGCCTCATGATTTGATATTAGTTCCACAAAATTTTCATAATTGACATGAATTGAACACAAAAAAAAAAACAATAAATCAAATGCATGCATTTCCAAGCGGCTATACAGTAAAACAATCCATGAACTTTTAGAGATTTGAGTAGAAGATACAGTTAGCCTCAAAGCAAACAGAATTTTTGAAGCTTTTAGAAGCTCATGCAGTAAGGTAAATCATTTACAAGAGCAACATTACTGGCTGTTGATTGTTGGAAACGTCTTGAAACATCTTAATTGAGAATTTGAAGAAGAACTAAGTCAAATAATTATAGCAAAGAGCATTGCATATCCATAGTCCATCACTTGAGAACTATGTAACATTGGCACTTCAAAGAAGAAGATGTACTCTTATTGAATATTGTATCTGTTGAGTGGTATCCTGATACTTGATGGATATGAGTCATTATTCATTTTGATGTAGCTTTAAAAGTTGCAACATGTTCTAGGCATATCAAACACGTATAATAAATGAAAAACACGCTAAAAAGTCAATATTTTTGAATATTGAATGATAGGGTTCACAAGTGTATTTGGTTTGAAGACGCATTCCATTTATATAATTTCTCCAGGTTCTTAATAAAAAAATATAAACATACAGAGTATAACTTTAATGATGTATCCACAACATATAAGTAAACTAAAGTTTTAGTATTGGATTTATCTGTGTGACCATAAATGTCATATCTGCATATGTATGAGCTTATATCCATACATAGTTATGTTTATAAATAATTAATGTCATGTTCTACCCATACCCTAGTTTGTTGTAAACATCGTGCATGTAGTCATATAGCATCTGTAACATGTGTCAGCTTCCAATGTTTCACGGTTTGATAAAAGGTTGCATTCAGGTGATGTATAACTCTAAACCCATGATGACATATAGGCATATGAAACAAGATTCTAAAAGACAAAGACATTAAACCATCTTTATAGAATGAGTAATTTGTGATTGCTTTTTAACAAAACAAGGACAGTAAGAGGAAATCAATTTAATGAAAAGGGGAGGACAAGGAATCAGAAAACCTGAAGCTTTTCAAGGCAAGTCTTGTTCACTTCATATCACAGCCTATTTTCTACGTCACTAAAAAATAATTATGTAACTCGGCTAAATGACTGCATTTTATTTCTCTTGATAACTTGGTATAAACCAAGTTTTTCATGAAATCTATTTCCATCGATACAGAGAAGTAACTGCAATGTTCATATCACCAACTACTTTCAAGTAATATATCAGCCATAGCTCATTGGAAAGTCACAAGGTCCTGCTAAAGCATGTTATGGGCATACAGATCACCTTCTTAGCATTCTAAAGATATGTTTGAAATGGTACTTCTAACACTATCACATGTTTCTGATGTTAATGTTGTCTTCGTTAAGATAATTGGATCCATGGAAATACTTAGCTTTTTCCATAGTGCAATGATAAGGGTATCATGATTGAAAACTAAATATCTGACAAAGATAAACGTGCTTTGGCAGCATATCAAAGTTATGCACCTGGCAGAGTTTGAATCGGTAGAAGAACTATGTAAACTCAGACAACTAGCTATAAAGCGCTAATATAAAGAAGAACAATAGCACGGTTCGACAGATTGAATCAAAACTGAAAGGCTTTAGGGGTCTGCACACATGAGTATAGTTCCATAGCATATACCAGAACAAGATGCTTGACAGTAACAATAAACTGCGGTCAAATTTAGATGTTGGGGGCAGCGAAACGATTCAACTGCGTTGTTAGGGCACCCGATGCTCATGACTAATGAAGTAGTAGGGATGCCAACATCCGCCATGAAATTGTGCACCGGAATTTAACATCGGAGATGATAACATGTATATCACTGAGAGGGCTTACCAAACAAAGGAGAAGCTGATGAAGTGGTGGTGGCCGCCGGAGCAGACGCGGACCTGCAAATGAAAACGCGAGGAGCGAGTGCAGGTGAGCTAGTGGTGTTGAATGTACGGCGAACAGCGGCAGCAGGCGCAGCAGCTGGTGTCGTTGAGGGCGGAGCAGAAGTAAAGAAAGAGAAGGGTGGCCGCAGAAGGGGGAGAAGGGGTCGTGGCGGAAAGCAGTAGAAGGAGCTGCAGGGAGGGTGAATGGGATGAAGGGGTTTTTGGATGAGGATGGGGGTGTCAGCCGCATTGGCGAAATGAACGCAGGCTGAGAGACTGAAAGGAGGAAGGGGCCAAAGAGGTTGCTGCTTGGCTGTTGTCGTGGGGCCGTTGTTGTCGCCGCGCGTTAGTCGAAGGGTACAGGAAGAACAACGAGGTGTGGCGGTGTGGCGGTGGTTGCAAAAGAGAAAGAGAAAGAAGGGGTGACTGAAGAAGAAGAGACGCGATGGAGGGAAAAGGAGGGAAAGACGTGCGGGCGCCGCTGAAAGAAGCTGCGGTGGCGAAGCGGTGAGGGGAGGTTGAGGAAGGAGGGGGTTGAGGCTGAAGAAGGAGGAGGAGCAACACCGAACGGTGACGAGGTTGGAAGACGGAGGGGAGGCGGCTGCAGAGGAGGAGGAGGAAGAGAAGCAGCAGCACGAAAGAGCTGGGGGGGAGGAGAGGTGCGGCGCGGCGGGCGCCGTGATTCCGAAAGCAAGCAAGAGGGAGAAGGAGCCGCTGCGTCCAAAGCTAGGGATTGAAGCGGCGGAGGAGGAAGTAGAAGAGCGGAGAGGAACGAAAAGCGGAGGTGAAAGATGGGCTGCTGCTGGGAGATGCGGCGGCGGCGGCGGCGGCGGCGGCGTGCGCGCGTGGCGGATGGAGAAGAACAACAGGAAAGGAGAAGAAAGGAGAAGGAGAAGGCGCTAGGGTTTGACGATTGACGATGATGTGAGGTGAAGAGAGGGAGGAAGAGAGAGGCAGGAGCGCGGCGGATCCGAAAGAGAGGCCGGCGGGGATGAGCTCGGAGCGAACGCGAGATAAAGGCTTCGACGCCAAAAGAAAAAGCCGACGCATGACGTACGAGAATAGAGGCGAAGGAGATGGTGAGGAGACATGCTGCTGGGGGATGACGAAGAGGGGCGTCTGAGAGAAGGAGAAGCCTGCGGCCTGCGACTGAGTTGAAGCCGCTGAGGTTGAAGCCGCCGAGGTTGACGACGACGATCCCGACGGCGCCCCGAATGAGAATCCCGATGCCATCTCTCTAAGCCTGAAAGGGTTCTTGAGAGGGCTTCTCAAAATTTCCCCAAAAACTTTCGCCTTCCAGGCAAAACCCTAGCCTCACGTGCACGGCGCGTGTTCCGTCTAAAGGGCCTGCGTTATGGGCTCGATTGAGCCCGTATTACATGGGCTGGGCTGTTAAATTTTTAATTTCGTTGACCGCTATTAATGGCCCGGAGAAACGCGGTGAGAAACGTTGGCCCCACGCCAGCGGGATCCCGTCACCGCTGAGGTGCGGTATATGAATCCTTTTTAGATTCTCCCGGGTTTTGAGTGAGGGGGAGGCGCTGTGTTAAAACTTGTTCGATCGATCTCGGTGCAGACAAATTTCCAAAATAGGCACTATTAAAAATTTATTTTTAAAAAAATAACTCATTAGAAATTTATTTGTCATTTTCCACCCACTTTAATGGTACGAAAGCTTCACAGTATTTAAAATCCCGTGAAGTTTAGCGATTGATTAGCCAAGCTAAGCAAAAATCCACCAAACTTCACGAGAGTTGATATCATGTGAAGTTGCAGGGTGCAACTACCAGAGAGCTCATGATCATCGAGGCTCATCAGCACGGACAGAGGAAGGGGGTAAGAGAAGGAAGAGAGGATTTTTAGGATGTATGTGGAATTTATAGTATGAATTATGAATTTCAAGAATATATATGGTTAGATTGTTCAAATTTGTTGCTTGCGTAGATCGATTTTTATTTATATATATGATTTTTCGTGAGTATTGTTTTGATTTATGGTTGAATTTTATGTATATTGTTGTAATTCGGTATATATGCCGCAAATTTGATGTTTATGGTTGGATTTTCATGTATATTGTTGTGAATGAGATGGAATTTTCATTATATACAATATGTTTTGAATTAGATGGAACATGCGCTTGGATTAGTTGGAACATGCGCTTGGATTATGTGCATGTTTATGCATGACCTGCAACTTCACGGTATTTGAAATCCCGTGAAGTTGTAGGCTCCTTTGGCAGAGAGCTCGTGAGTTCTTTGGTAGTGGCATCCTACAGCTTTTACGAAAGTTGAAATCCCATAAAGTTGCGGCCAAACTTCACATGATTTTAACTCCCGGGAAGTTTGGCAATTTTTTTATTAGCATGGTTAATCACTTAATCAGTCACTAAACTTCACAGGATTTTAAATCTCATAGTTTTTAAACTTAATTTGCTATTTTCGACCTAGTTTTAGCCAGGTGGCTGAATTTGAGTCGAAAATGACAAGTAACTTTCAAATGAGTTGTTTTTAAAAAATAAATTCCTAATAAGGTATATATTGAAAATTTGTCCATCTTGGCCGTTGGATCTCAAAGATGACTGGCCATTAATAGCGTATCTTGAAGAAATATTTCTAATACTCTTTTCTCTCCTGATCACCGTGTCGTCTTATAGGGTAGACTCCTCCTTCTCTTCAAGTTTTTTCTTTGCACGAGTTATGACCGTGATTTTTTATGTTAAAAATAATCACATAGTTTTCCAAATCCTATAAAATTGTTCCCTCGTGCCAAAAAAAAATCTTGAAATTCTTCAATGCAGTAGGAAAAGAGCATCATTGGTAAATTTTAATAGCAAAGAAGAAGAATTGTCCGTTGAAAGAGGTAGGCTTTCATAATCCTGCCCTTTATTAGTATAGTTGAAAATTTGTTTACCAATAAATATAGTAGAAAAGAAAATTGACTTATTTTATGCCAGTATAGTTGAAAATTTCTGTCTCTTCATATACACACATGCACAGGTGTGCATGCGCACACCCATGCATACATACATAAAGGCCATAATATATACACATACTATAAATGATTTGGTTAATCGGGTGCCTGGAAGAGTTGGGTCTGAAACGGGGGAACAAAGTTCTTTATTATGATAGCCAGAGTGCTATACACCTTACTAAGAACCTAGTATTTCATGCTAGAACGAAGCACATCGAGTTACGTTACCACTTCATACGCTCGATGATTGAGGACGGAAAGTTACAGTTAGAGAAGATTTTGGGGAGCAAAAATCCTGCAGATGTTGACTAAAGCAGTCACCATTCAGAAACTGAAGTTGTGCGCAACTTCAGTTAGCCTTCATGCATAGGTGATGAAGGCGGAGCCACACGATGAGAAGATGCTTGTTAAGAGAGCTTGCTGACGGCGGTTTGGTCTCCAAGTAGAAGATTGTTGGAAAATGATGTAGACCCAAACTTGTCAGCAACGAGCTTCAGACGACCTCGACGCGGGAGGCGAGCTCGTGGCAGATGCAGGCGA